GAGTCCATCTGGTTCTTCCAGAACAGGCTTCACTCTGTCAGATTCCTCTAAGTTGAAGCTGGCCATGACAGGGATCCCTCAGGAACAGTTGCATTAAATGTCATCTCACGTTGCCAAGAGCAGCTGGCCAAAAAGTCAACAAAATTATCTAGAAACTGCCCACACATCTGCCCAAATCTATCCCAAACTATAAGTCACATAGAATACACAATGTTAATCGATCTATTCACCCCATGGAGTTTATAGAGACAGTCTCATCTGGATCAGGAAAGGATCTTCCATATCCTGACCACTGCAAATCTGCTCCGTGTCAAAGGTGAGGTCTGCAATGTAATTGCTTATATTTTTTGAACCCAGGATTATTTGGGTGAAGCCCTTGGTTGCCATGAACTTCCTGAATACTTTTCAACCTAATCTCCAGATTTTGGAAGTTGAAGTAATTCCAAACAGAAAATGAGGAGACTCCAACAGTAACCTGGAAAGCAGATTGAGCCACAGAGGTGAAGAGAGTTGCACTTCAGTGCAAATTCATTGTGAAGGGCTAGGAGTCCAGGAGAAATCCTTACTCAAAACCTCCAGACTTCATTCCATTGTTTTCCTGGTTGGCTGTCCCACTAATAATGACAGCTACTACTTGGTCTCAATGTTTATTTGCAACATTTCCTCCAACCAACAGAATTCTACAGCAACTTCATCCATAGTTGCTGCAGTTGATGAATAGAGATGGCTCATTCTAGCACACCACCACAACCTAGGCCTCCAGAATTACCAGTTTGTTTAACTTTACTGCCCTGATATTAGTCCCATCCAAATTAAAATGTCTATCATTAGTTACAGGAAACCGGGTTTGGGTTCAATCAAAACATTGTAAATATACCAAGTGATCTTCATTAACCTGTCAATGTCATCACCTTAAAACTATAGGCTATCAAAAACTCTGCGTAAGAAACAATAACCAGATGCCATCTTTACAAAGGGGAAGGAACTTTAGAAGAGTCTCTGGGAAAAAATTCTTTGGAAATAATGTGGTAGCTTTGTAATCATGAGTTGGGTTTTAATGAGAAATATCTCATTTAAGATATTTAACCATCAATGGATTTGACAACAAGGCAATATTAATGGCATGACCTAGAGCAGTGATGGCGAACCTTTTAGAGACCGAGTGCCCAAACTGCAACCCAAAACCCACTTATGCATCATCGGGTGCCGGGTGGGCGTGGCCCATTGGGTGGGTGTGGCTGCGGTGGTAACAGCAGAGTGGGTGGGACTAAAAAGTTCAATCAATCAATTCCAACTTTGCAAGATCTTTTTTTTCCGTGAGAAGTTGAAATTGACTGATTGATTGAACCTTTTTTTTTTTGCACACGGCGGCGGAGGCCTAAAGCAAAAAGGTTTTTTAAAACCCAGCTGAAGGCCTAGGACTGGGGTGACGACTCGTGTGNTGCCACCTCTGGCACCCGTGCCATAGGTTCGCCACCACTGACCTAGAGATTCAATAAAGATACTAGAAAATATGAAGGTCAGGAACAGAGGCAGAGGCACCACTGTCCTCATTGTGCAGTAGATTTATTTGCATCCCTTATGAAAGAAAAGTCGCTTCATAAGTAATGAAATATATAATCTTGTGGATAGTATTTTATGTATATTATTTTTGTCTTAAATATTTGTCTAATTTAGGAAAAACCTAGAAGCAAATTCTGGATTCTTTCAAAAGAACAACTTGAATTGTGCATCTGATATAGCAAAATCCAATTCTGGGGCAGACCAGAATAAATTGGAATCAGTTTGTATTTAGTTGGATGAAGTGGACAATCTGAATCAATTGTGATCATGAGATTCTTTAAGCAGATCCATTTCTCTGGAACTCCGGGGTAGCACTGTGGTAGCTATGTCAAAAATAAGGTGGGAAATCTTCGTTAATATAAAACAGCAGTCTGTAGAGGGGACTCAGGGAAATATTGATTCTGTAGCTAACAATTCTTCCATGGAATCGGTCATACCAGTATTAATTACACCAATCATGGAGGGTAAAGCTAATGTGAGACAGAAATTACTTTATAATTCTTTTCACTTCAGTTTTATCTTATCTCTTATCCCTAGAAATTATATGATGATGTTTTATGAACTGCTGTAGATAGCTGAGAAGACAATGTTATGCATCTATTTATACCCCAAGCACCAACATTACCACATTCAGAAAAGGTTATTGTTATTATTATTTCACCAGGCATAAAGTAACCTATCAGTCTTGGATATTCCTCACCATAGAAAAATGTTTCTGAAAATTTCATCAAATTCTTTCCCAAAACAAAGAAAGGCAAACATTTATTTCAATTTAACAGAATAATAGAGTTGGAAGGGACCTTGAAGGTCTTCTAATCCAACTTCCTGCTCAAGCAGGAAACCCTATACCATTTCAGACAAATGGTTGTCCAATCTCTTCTTAAAATCTCCAGTGCTGGAACCCCCATAACTTCTGGAGGCGTGTCGTTCCATTGGTTAATTGTTCTAATTGTCAAGAAATTTCTCCTTAGTTCTAGGTTGATTCTCTCCTTGATTAGTTTCCATTTATTACTTCTTGTCCTACTTTCAGGTGCCTTTGTGGCAGCCCCTTAGATATTGGACATAGCCAATTCCTGCAACCATTCTTCATATGTTTTAGCCTCCAATCCCCCTAATTATCTTTGTTGCTCTTCTTTGCACTCTGCACTCTTTCTAGAGAATCTCAATATCTTTTTATATTGTGGCAATCAAAACTGGATGCAATATTCCAAGTGTGGCCTTACCAAGGCATTGTAAAGTGGTATTAACACTTCAGATCATCTTGATTCTATCCCTCTGTTAATGCAGCCTAGGGCTATGTTGGCTTTTTTGGCAGCTGCTGGCTCATATTTAAGTGATTGTCCAGTACTGCTGAGCCAGGTAGCACCTATTCTATACCTGTGCATTTGTTTTTTCTTGCCTAAATTTAATTTCAAAAAAATCAATGGATCTTAAGAACATAATTTGAAACACTGATTTTTATTTTTTTGGAATTTAAGTGCAATATCATTTACAATAGTCTAATATTCCTGAAAATATCCTGACTTTGAAGAAATTAGTAGCTCTTCTTAATTTTCCCATGATAGATAATAAAAGGAAAATCTTTATTTTGTCCATTTTTTGCTTTGCATCTGATTAAACCACCCCAGTCATTTACAGAGTTCAAAATCTTGCCTCCCTAGTGAATCAAGTGGTTTCCGCATTATCAAGTATTGTGAGAGGATTTTGACACTGGGCCAATCCTTTAGGTCATGCGGAGGCCATGCCCACCCCAGCTCCGGCAATGCAAAAAAAGTCACAATACGTCACGCCATGCCACATGATGTGGCAAGTTTGACACCCGTGCTTTAGGTGATTAGAGTTTGGCTAAGAGCAAATGGAAAGGTCTTAATAAAATTGAATGAGGCTTTCTATTTTGGAATAGTATAGAAACACTTGAACTGTAACTATAATTCTCGATCGTAATATAACAACAAGCTACTTTTTGAATGAACTAGCAATGAGCCATTCTTTCAAAGTCTGATTTGTTGAAAATAAAACATGGATTGTTCGTATGGCTGAGTCTGGACACTTAGTCAAGTTGTAACACATATTTCATTTGAGTACAGACATGTCCTATGTAATTTATCTTTATCAACATAATCTTCCACTATCACGCAGAGGATAACAGATTTTGCTATACTATATTGAATTGAAAATGTATTTGATAGTTTTTTAAAAAGGGAAAATATATTTTGATATTTTCTTTTGATAGTTTCATATTTTGATTCTGTCAGTTCAGATTATTTTAGTAAAATAGTTTTCAAGGGAAACTATTTTCAAGGGAAAAGAACAATATTGGGGTGCCACTTTGCAAATCCCCCACCTTGTGCTAATTTAAAAATGTGAACCCATAAAAATCAGTTTATATTATGTACATTAAGAATCTTACTGGTTCTCTAAACATTAAGATTTAAGTTAACCATGTTATGTTTATATTAAGTTATTTTAAAAAAAACTTATTTAATTAATCTCATCTTAGATTTATGTTAATTTATAGGATGACACTAACCCTGACAGGTCTGGTGTGCAATCTGGGGGTCCTTCTAGATCCATGGCTCCTGCTCAAAGAGCAGGTGGCAATGGTGATTAGGAGAGCCTTTCCAGACCTTTGGCTGATACACCCATTCCTGGATAAGGAGGCTCTGGTCACTATAACACACACACCTTGCAATCTCTCACTTAGATTACTGCGACATGCCCTACATGGAACTGTCCTTGAAGAGCATTTGGAAGTTCAGCTGTTACAGAATGCAGCTGCACAGTTAGTGAATGGTGCCAAATACATACATGTATAACGCTACTACTGCATGAGCTGCATTGACTATCACTGTATTTCTAGGTACAATTCATGATGCTGATTGTCATCTTTAAAGCCCTATATAGGTGACTCTTTTTCCAAGAGTCTCTACCTGTCTGATTCAATCCAGTAGATTGGGCCTGCTGCAGATCCTGTCAGCCAAAGAATGTCAACTGGCAGAAACTCTTTGGTGTAGGCCCTGCTTTGTGGAATGTTCTTCTCTTAGACATTAGAATAGCCCAACCCTGTTGGCCTTTCACAAGGCTTTAAAAACATCTCTGTACTCTGTACTGACTGGGGCTCAGAATGTGTTAAGAGCCTCATTTCATGACTTTACTATTAGATGGTTACTGCATCTGCACCAAAATATCCCATTACTATAAAATGATCTACAGGGATTTGATTGTTTTTAAATCTGTGTAATTTATATTATGTATTTGTTTTTAAATCTGTGTAATTTATATTATGTATTTGCTACATTTATACAGATTGAATCTAATCTTATTTACTAGAAGTAATATATAAGAGTACTTTGATTTAATTCAGGTTAGTTTTACCAATTTAGAGAAATTTGTATTTGAAATGTAACCTCATGCTTCATTATTTATTAAGCAGGAAATGGAAAGTAATGAAACCGAAAATGATGACTCGTTTTATATTCCCCGGTCCGAAACTTCAGAAAGAAATTACTTTGTTTCATCTTCATCTTGGTCTTCACAACTAATAAATGTAGAGGCTACAGAGATTGAAAAGTATGTGAGTATAGTTTCCTCAAGTATAATTGAAGAAAAGACTAAATATACTTTGACATGCTGTTTTCAATGCCACATATTTTAAGGCCTTAGGAAAATACAGTAGAATTGGTGCCAATCTGATCTCTGCATTGGTGATGTTTCAAAAGGCTGGTGCCAAAACAGAAAAGACTCTCTTCCTGGCCCCTGCAAGAAAGCAATCCAAAATAGACAGGCCCCAAAGGGGATGGGTGCTTGTAATTGGGGAAAGGCAGGCCCTCAATTATTGATGAAACACATATGATGTTTAAAAAATATCTAGCCCGTGTTTTTTTCATTTTATGAAAAGGGTTATCATATTGAAAAAAATCCAGGTAAATTATCTGTGGCATCCCTCTAATTTTCTAAGTTAATAATTTCATCAAACAGGAATATAAGTTTAGTCTGGCATGATTTGTTTGTAACAAACCTCTGCTGGCTTCTGGTAATTGAAGCATGTCTATATAAATATTTACAACTATGCTGCATAATAGGCTGTTTACCTATTATTGATATTGTTGAGAGATCTATAATCTCTCAGTCTTTCTTTTCCCTTTTCTCAAGATAGAGATGACATTTGTTCTCTTCCAGTCTTCTGGCACCTCACCAGTCCTCCAGGAGTGCTCAGAGTTTACCAAGAATAAATCTGTCATCACCTTCACTAGTTCCTTCAAGTGCCATGGAATCTAATCCATGTAGTTTTGAGCTTGTTATCCTATCTAGCAGAGAGTAACATGAAATTTACATCTCTCATCATGCACACCTGTTTTCATAATTATAATGTCCACATTTTTACCTTTAATTTTGTATGCTTTTAAAAGAGAGTTTGGGCTAGCAATATCCACCTTAGTTTCAGCAATTCTAGTACCTTGGAATAATGAAACAGTTCTTGGGGATTTTGTGGCAGTAAGAAACTGGTTCATCTCTTAGATTATGTCAGTTCTAAAAATTGGTGAAGTTGGTTTACTTGTTCTATTTTTTAAAATCTTCTTGCTTTTCCCTGTTTTGTTTCCTGTGATTGATACAAAATAAGCTGGAAAACTCTATAGATCTTTTAAAAGAACATCAACATTGGCTAAGATGGTAATGATGCTTAGTAAAATATATAGCATACCCAAGGTGCAGGTATAATACTCAGGAAAACTTATCAAAAATGTAAAAATATTGCCTTAAAGTAGAAAAGAGAATAATGCAAGTACAATAGGAATCAATAAGAGATTGAAAGTTAAAGGTCTGTGTAAGAGAATAGATGGATAGGTAAATCAATAAATAAGTAAACCAACAAATCTACCTCAGATTTCTTCCCATTATGAAACACTTCTAGCAATAGAATACTACCACTTACAAATCCCATCCAAACTCCAGCTGTGTCACTTAGAACAGGGCTTTTCAACCAGTGATACATTGGCACGTGGCAGGTGGTATGCAGCCATGCCCAGCCCAGCCAAGTGTAGAGGGGGAGGGAATGAGCCAAAGCGGGGCACCGCAGAACTTGCCATGAGAGAGTCCTCGGGAGCTGCAGGGTTGCGGGGGCGAGGCAAAGGCCCCATGACCGGCACTTCAGGCACATCCGGAAGAGAAAAGAGGAGGAGGGGGGTGGAGACAGGAAGGGATGTAAAAGGAGGCAGTTTGGACGGGAGAGGGAGAAAAAAAAAAGATGCAGCCTTGGGAGGAGGAGGAAGAGTCAGCTGGGGCTGAACCAAAAGGAAAAGGAGGAGGAAGGATAAGAGAGGAGAGGATAAAAAATAGTGTAAGGACCCGTCTCAATCAGATCTCCCAAGAAAGCAGAACTCCTGAAATGGCATCATTTCAAAAGGAACTTTTATTGGGAGGTGTTGACAGCAGGAATAGAAGGCAGGATCTGAGGGTTTCCTGCATGAATCAAGTAATTAAAAGTGTCCATAGTAACCCCACCATAACTGTCCATCCGGAAGGTTCAAACAGGCCAATCCACAGGTGTGAAAACACCGTGGGAACAGAGTGATAAGGCACCACTTCCAAGGCTGTTAGGTGTCTGCGCTGTTTCTTCCACGCTCGGAGATAAGGCAGTTGGCCGGAGGTACATTCCATTATCACCCCATTAAAGACACATCAAAGAAGATAGAGCAAGAGACAGAGCAAAAGAAGGGATGAATTGGCGATAGAAATTAGAGAACTCAAGGAAACTTTGCACTTGTTTCCTTGTGCATGGTGATGCCCACTCCAGCACTGCCCTGACCTTTTCCAGATCCATTTCTGTCCCATTATGAGATATGCGGTATCCTAAATAGTCAATTTTTTGTTATAGAATTCACACTTTGATAGCTTGTTGTAAAGTCGAGCAGCCTGCAATTTATTCAGTACCGCCCTGACCAGTTTTACATGCTCCTCCCTTGTTTCAGTGAAAATTAAGATGTCATCCAGGTACACGAGAACTCCTTTGTAGAGGTGCTCCTAGAGGACTTCGTTAATTAGCTGCATGAAGACTGCTGGCACTCCCTGCAGTCCAAACGGGAGTACCCTAAATTGAAAGCAGCCCATGGGGCAGTTAAATGCTGTCTTCCATTCGTCTCCTTCTTTAATCCTAACCTGGTAATATGCTTCCCTTAGGTCTAATTTTGAGAATATTTTCCCCTTTTCTAGGTGGGGCAATATATCTTTCATTAGCATCATGGGGTAGATAGCAACTGTGATTGTTTTGCCCCGCAGGCTGACCGCATTCTGAATGCTTCCCTTTCACCCGGGACACCAGGCCCCATGTGTCATGATCTTGGCATGATGTCATGTGTCTGACTAAATGAAACACTTCAAAGAACTTTCAGGCATGGTTTAGCCTAAAAAGCCTTTATTAGTGTAGAGGAGTGTCAGCACGGCATGGAGAATGCCAAGATCTGAATTTCCCTTCCTTTGCACATAACATTCCAGGCATTTCCCTTCCCCAATTTTGGGGTCATGATTCACATCTTCCAATTAACCTGGAGGGCAAAGATTCACTTCTGTTCCCTTCTGCGAGCTTTTCTCTCCTCTCTCATTCTCATCTGAATTAACTCTAAAAGTACCAGACAGTTCTGCATATTTTGTCAAAACAAGAATATTCAATATTAGCAGCGTTGACACCATGTGCTCTCTGCACACGCTCAGGCAGGTTTGGCTTCTCACCAGCTCACCTTGCCTGGCCCAGCCTCTCTGCATGGTGAGGAGAGCGTGCCACTACCTATTGAAACCGGGCAGGCTGGGGGGTCTGGGTGGTGTAGCACAGGTAATATGAAGTCACTCTGCTCGTGGCATCTCCTCCCCTGGAGTCCATGAGTGTGTGAAGTGGGCGGGGGCCATTTGCTGGTCTCCTTCAGGGGATGCTGCCATTCTTCATTCCTCCCAGAGGGCAACCCTTCCCCAGTGGCGTTTCTTGCCTGTTTTTCTTTCCCTCCCTTATTGCAAATATCTTCCTGCCACTCTGCTCTTAGGCTGTGTGGCTCTTGTCCAGGAATTTACAGTGGCTTTCAAGCCATGGCCACAGGAAGGAAGGAAGGAAGGAAGGAAGGAAGGAAGGAAGGAAGGAAGGAAGGAAGGAAGGAAGGAAGGAAGGAAGGAAGGAAGGAAGGAAGGAAGGAGATCGGAATGAGAAACAGGGAGGCAGGGAAAGAGGGAGGGTAGGGATGGAGGGAGGAAGGAAGGAAGGAAGGAAGGAAGGAGGGAGGGAGATTGGAATGAGAGGGAGGGTGGGTCTGAGGGAAGTCCTGCCTTGGTACTTGGCCACCAGCAGCCCTGTTGCCCTTTCGCCATCCCCTTGCCCCCTCCTCCTGGCCTATCCTGATGGTCTCCCATCCTATTGCTAAGGATGCTTTAGCATCCGAGTCTCCTCACATGGAGAGGAAGTGGGCCTCACTCTGACCCACACACTTTGCCCTCCTGCACCCACCATGAGCAACCTGGCCAAGGAGAGTCAGCACATCAGTAGCAGTAGCCTTGACGAGGAGGTAAGCAAAGCCAGATGCCCCCTTGGGGAAGTGGGGCTGGAGTGGGTTGGGCTGCAGGGTCCTAGTGCCCTGGGAGCTCAAGGGCCAGGCTGGGTGCTTGCCCTCCACTGCCCAGGGCTCTGGGCAGCCCATGCCACTGGCGGGAGTCCCCCACATGGCCCAAGAGGGACAGCGAGGCTCCTACGGTAGACCATGCCCTAGTGCCCACCACAGTCCCACCCCTCTCCACCAGAGACCCCCAGATCCCCCCACAGCCCTGCCTGCACCCCCCACAGGCACCCCATGACCTGAGTGATGTTGAGCTGGCCATGCCTCCCCAGCCATTGACTTCGCTTGTCAAAAAGTTGCAAAAGGTGATCACATGACCCTGGGACACTGTGACCGTCATAAGTATGAATCAGTTGCCAAGCATCCGAATGTAAATCACATGACCCTGTGGATGCTGCAACAGTCATAAGTGTGAAAAATGGTCATAAGTCACTTTTTAATGCTGTTGTAACTTCAAACAGTCACCAAGTGAACTGTTGTAAGTTGAGGATTACCTGTACTTTATCACTTTTTCCCTTTTTTTTGTCATCAAGTTTTTGATACCTTGCTAGGTGACTGGTGGTACTTGAATATTGCCATATCCCAAAAGTGGTACAATCTGTGAAAAGGTTGAAAAGCCCTGACTTAGAAGACAGAGGAATCTGAAGTACATTCATATGCAAATACAATCTCTTAGATATTTGGCTGCTAAACTACTTAGGTTTCATGTAAAGAATCTCAAACTTCTCAATATGACAACCCTGTAAAATGATAAATGAATTTGTAATAGTCTCTGATGAATAGAATTATTGATTTCATTTGAGTTAGGGTTGGTCAGGAAATAAATGCATCATTTACTTTTAATTATTATATGTTAATCTGTGTATCTCACGGGGTCTAGTCTTTGTATAAGTGCAACTCTCTATTGGGCTTGCACCCCCCCATCAAAACTATTCTAATTTTATCTAGTCCACTGCTGACTCACTTAGGCAAAGGTTACAGTGATTTCAGAGCAAGTTTTGACCATGCTTACACATGCTTGTGCAATTCTAATCAGAATGAAGAAAAAAATAGTGAATCCCCTTCTAAGCTCTCTCCCCCCTCCCCCCAGGGAGACCAATCCATAGTCTGAAAGCTATAGAATACAGCCTGCAGTTTATGTAATGTTTAGTAATGGATTGGCAGCCAGCAAAGCTGTTTTAAGAACAATGGCATTTTACTGGTTTGTCTGTTTTTACATACTGTACATTGCAAGTTTCCAAATAGACTCATGGCAGTGTATAGTAAATCAAAATACAGATGATAATAATAATAATAATATATAAATAATTTTAAAATATAGAGGTAGGTTCTTTCCAAAATTGCTTATCTCCCATTGTTTTTGCTGGGCCCAATAGATTTAGCAGGGATGCATATTTCAGGTCCCTTCCATAAGAGAGACCTCCCAGCTTTCCTTTGGTCAAAAGTTGAGAATGGGCTTGCATGACTTGTTCAGGGGAAAAAGCCATAGAGATAAATTGATAGCAGACCACAATGAATTTCTTGGTCTGGTCTACTTGTTATTGTGTGCAGCCATATAAATAATTTAATAATAATAATAATAATAATAATAATAATAATAATAATAATAATAATAATAATAATAATAATAATAATAATAATAATAAAGTTAGAAGGGACCTTGGAGGTCATCAAGTCCAACCCCCTGCTCAGGCAGGAAACCCTTAGTTTCTCCTTAGTTCTAGGTTGCTTCTCTCCTTGATTAGTTTCCATCCATTACTTCTTGTCCTGCCTTCAGGCGCCTTGGAAAATAGCTTGACTCCCTCTTCTTTGTGGCAGCCCCTGAGATATTGGAACACTGCTATCATGTCACCCCTCGTCCTTCTCTTCGTTAAACTAGACATACCCAATTCCAGCAACCGTTCCTTATACGTTTTAGCCTCCAGTCCCCTAATCATCTTTGTTGCTCTTCTCTGTACTCTTTCTAGAGTCTCAACATCTTTTTTACATCATGGTGACCAAAACTGGATGCAGTATTCCAAGTGTGGCCTTACTAAGGCATTGTAAAGTGGAATTTAAATTTAAATACATGAATAAATATAACTAAGCTGTTATCATCTTAAAAACTCAAAAGTGTTTTGTATGCATTTGTCTCTTTAATAGTTATAATTTCTTAATCTTTAAATTATTCCTCTTCTAGGGGTGAGATGAACTATTTGTGTTAAATATTTCCAAATTAGGGGGTGTGTAACTGTGTTTCCATATTACCTTTATCCTACTGTGTTATCAAGCTATCTGTTTTTTACTATCTTTTCTTTCTTCCAGAAAATTAATCATGCCCTTTACAAAGAAAGCTAAAAAAATAGAAGAAAAGCAAAGAAAGTCTCTACTTGGCCCTAAGAGTGCTCCCCAATCATTGGTAATATCAAGAAGGTCAGGATTTCAAGATGGTTCCATACATCAAACAAAACCAGTTCAGAAAAATGATAGAAAATCAAAACTAGCCAGCTACGAATCAAATAGTACAAACAATTTCTGCCTTACATTGCCATATAAGAGAAACAGACCTATCAGTGCTCCATCAGGTCAGCTAAGGTAATCAGATTTGTTTCATGTTCCTTTTAACTATGACTGTGCTTGTTCTTATTTTAGTGCTTTTCAACAAAGTCAGGTTGATATAATTGGCAAAATTATAGTTAAAGTGCAATATGTATTTGCATTTTTGGTATCTAACAATATTACTGGGTATTTCTAAGCATTTTCAGTTAGTAGTAAGCTACTCTGAATTCACTGTAAGTATTTTCTTGTAAAATGTAGGATTTTGTATTTAGGATTTCTGCCTTAGTCTTTTGAAAAACTGCTTCAATGTCACAAATATATTGTATAGGAAGGTTTCACATGAGTGAAAAAATATATACTCTCTTTTAAATTACTATGCATAAAGTAATTTTGATTCCAATAAGAGCCAAATAGATAATTTCATTATTCTATAACACATATCTAATGAATGTTATACAACTGTCCCTCTATGCAGTCTATATAAATCTTTCCCTCATTAAAATGCATCACATGCAGGAAGATCAATATTTGATAATAGAAAATGGAGTGGGTGAGTTAAGATGGAAGAGGAGAAGGGATAGAAGATACACTGGAAATACTGGGATATGGTCACCATGTAGAAGGGGAATGAGCTTTATGTAATGAACATTTCTATGTCATCTGAATATACTTCAACTATATTTATTAGATAATCCCCCTGTGATATTAATGTAAAAAATCTGTTTCCCACAAAATGAATAGTAACATTGCTTTGTTATAAAGTGTAACTGTACTGATGTGTTGCTATTACCCTCTGCTCCTATTATAAAAAGAAAAATAATCCATAAAACCCCTTGAAAGCAAATCTAGTTAGCCTTCCACAAACATTAGTTTCAGAGAGAAACTATAGAAGTGTCCTCAGTGTTTACAAGTATCGCAAAACCAAAGAGATACTGTTGTTATATCTAAAATCTAAAAATTTAAAATTTAAATGCTCTGGCATTGTACAAACTTTTGTTTGCAATCAGCAGATTAATTTGGAGAAGTAAGAAGAATATATTTACTTTCTAAGCTTGCCTAATAGCATACTTTTATTGATGGCAAATCTATGCAAAAAGACTTTTATCTAAGCCTTTTTGTTTGTTTGTTCTTTCAAATAACTTAAAATATGAGTTATATAGTTACTGGGCATTCAATTGTACTTTTGAATTTCATGTGGCTTAAGAATGCATTCCTATAAACAGTTACATCAGTTATAAATGCTACTGAAGAAAAAATTATTTTCAAATCCATATGATGGTAATTTGACTATAACAGTTTAAACAGAGATTTTTAATGAAACATTACAATATTTGAAATGCGGAAATCAAAAATTGTTTCTATTTAAACAGTAATTATAACAAAAATTAAGACAAAAATCAGTGGAATCCTGACTTCAAATGCTTTTAATAAAGACAGATCCAAAATTGACAATAGCCATTTTATATTTGAATTTCTAGATGTTACACATAAATGTGAAACAATAGTTCATAATTTTCCATAAGCTTAGAAAAATACTTGTCACCTTGAACTTTGTCTAAAATGTAAAAGTAATAAGCTAAACAATTATTAAGAAAAACAATATTAACTAAATGTAATTTTAGAATAGATGCATGTTATGTTCTAGTTACTTTCTTATTCAATTGAATTGGAATTATTTTGCAACAGATGTCAACAATTTTCTTCCTCAAAACTGTACTTTACCCGGAAGGCCTCTGAGATATCCCAGATTTTTAAACAGAAACCACAGATACTCAGAGTAACTGCTTATAAAAATGGTGCAATAAATATATTTGCTAAAGTTACTGTGCCACTTTCTATTAAATTGGTAAGTATCTCTATTATTTATTTGGATATGCTTCTCAAACTCAAAAAAGATAAGGATTTTATTTATTTTAAAATGAAACAGTTCACAGCCGTTAGCGTAAACACTGTGATTTTTCTTTATGTTGAATTTTATAAAAAAACAACAACACCAAGCCACCGAAATAATGTAGAATGTGAAATCTCTCTTCATGGTTCATATAATGGTGACAATAGCAACATTGACAGCTTGCTTGGCAACTGACTCTACATATTGTATATTTCGCAAGGTAGCAGAAACACTAGTTTCTAAGTTTTGATTCTTGATTAGTAGCATACCACAGAAATATATTTCTGTTGTTAATTTTTCTTACCTTATTCTGTTCATTTAGCTGTTGGAGGAATGCACTGAAAAGCTGAAGCTGAATATGGCTGCCCGACGAATCTTCTTGGCAGACGGCACTGAGGTACTGAGTGCTATAGACATACCCCATGATGCTGACGTTTATATTTCAACTGGAGAGCCCTTTTCAAATCCATTCAAAAAAATCAAAGGTAAAAAAATGCTACAGTCAGTGGATTAAGGGGTGCAATTAAAAACGATTTTCATCCTATCTTTTTGCATGGTTTAACAAAACTAATGTTTACTCATTTACAGCTCAGTAAGAGGATAATGTGCTTAATGAAAGAAAAATCTACTGACAGCCACGTTCATTGCCCTTCATTAGCATTGGTGCTTAATTTAATATAGATTTGAATAGACATTAGGGAGCCTGCAGGAGGTTAAATGGTGAAAATATAATAAATTAAATCAGAGATTATTGAATTTACTATTTAGTTTCACTGACATCTTACAGACACAATTCATTAAGCTTATTACACCAGCAAAAATAATAGTTCAGAGTGTGAGTGCTTTATTAATTTAGTCATTTGACCTTTATTAAGACAAAGCATTAAAATAATTATCAGATGTTTTATGCAAGAATGTGTAATATTCAGCCTAAATTTATATATAAATTTATTTGTGTAGCTACCATTGCATTTTGAAATTTAAAGCATTTTTAAAAAATATTTAATATCAGAAGCCATTGTCTCTTGTAATTAATTTTGTAATAGGTTTTCTGGGAAATTCAACAATAAAATGTAGAATAATATACCATACAATTGCCTCATTCATTGCAAATACTTTTTAATTTGAGCTGTGTTCTGGATTGAATGATTAGGAAATTTCAACACAAAATGCTGTATAATGTTAGAAATTGTTATTAGGTTATAGCACATAGTTGGGATTTAAAATATTAAGGAACAAAACCATTAGCCAAATGAAAACTCCATGTTAACCTGGAATGAGAAAAGCAACAATTTTAATATCATACTATTAACAAAATAAAAAGAATGATAATGACTCATAATTGAAAATATTGCAGCTGAATTAATTTTTATATGAATAATATTTTTAGAAGGTAAGCCAAATTTTTAAACTGAGGTACAAGTAGTTTTCATTATATCTTTTCAGGCTTTCTATAATAGATTATGTTTAATACTGATGAAAACATTTATGACATCAACATGTAAGTGTTCTAAAATGAATGTTGTATTAAGCATATTATCAGACTCCTTTTTCTTAAAACTTTTACACTGAATGCTGAAAATCTCAAATGGGAAAAATTCTTGAGTGTGTTTTAAAGAAATTGAGTACCATGTAAGCAGCAAATTATGCTTCAAAATAGGCAGAAAAGCTGCCCAAAAACATCCCTGAAATGCTTAATAAAACCTTGTTAAACAAAAGGTATGTATTATGTTTAGAATGACTGAAATATTTAATTTAAATCTACTTGGCAAGCAATATATCTGTATATCTTTAGTATTTTTGAAAATATTATGTCTGTAATAAGTAGTCCATTGCTCATGAATTATTCATGTAGTGCCATATTATAGATGATGTGACAGTTTTCCTGAATAGAATCCAAATAATCTGCTGAATGTGTTTTAATACATTAACTGAATAAGAAGATGCAAATTAAGCAAATATCCTTTCTCATTTTTAAAATTCTTGTAATGAATTGTCTTTCTATTTATCATAATAATCAGTATTACCTTTGCATTACACCTTAAGTTCAGCTGAGCCTAATGTTGCCATCCTTTTCATAAATAAGCAGGAGGATAGTAGAGTAATTTTTGAACAATGTGCAACTTTTCTAAATATATTATTGGCCACTGAGATTTCCCGATCCAAAGAAGCATTTTGTTCTTTCTTGATCTCTGCTTCATTTGCACTCAACAAAAACTTCTCTGCTTTGTCTGCATCTTTTGGCTGTGTTTCATCATGACATGCACTGCTGTTCCTTTCGCACCAAAATATTGGCACACATTGCTGAAAATTTCACACCAACTCTTGCTGGATCAGCAAGCTTAACCTACCAAAATCTGGTGTACTGGAATACTATTTGACTGATAATCAATCTTTTTGCTGCTCGACAGTTGTTTCTGGGACGCAGAGTAGAGCAGGTGGCAGATGTGCCTTGTCTTTTGAGAAAAGAAAGAGTAGGTGAGGTTGGGCACAGCACAGTATATTGAGGGTCCATTAAGAGGCCTCTGCGAGAGTAAGTATTACTCTAAAAAAGTCACTGATAAACATTGAAGAGGCACCAAAATCATCCCCTAGATTTTCCAGGCTGATTTGTTCATTTAATAGGATTGTGCATTCACCACAATGCATTGGAAAGCTTTCTATAAATGTTGTCAATAGTGTCATCCATACACACACAAACACAAACACAAACATTTATATACAATTTTAACAAGGCTATTACTCTAGTATTCATTCTGAAGAATGTACATTGAATTTTAACTGACTATTATTATACCAATATTGCAAAATATGTATAATTTGGCTACCATTAATATATAGACAAGTCCATTCTTCATAACATCTTTATTATATTCTCTGTGTTACTTTTGCTAGCATTTGTGTCA